ACGGCTGTAAGTTCAAAATCAGCCTGGTCTACATAGTGAGTTTCAGGCCAGCCTGGGCTACATAGATATGGTCTCAAAACAAAACAAGGGGTTAAGAGCTCCCACTGTTCTTAAATGAACCCTGATTTGGGTTCTCAGTACCCATGCCACGTGGTTCACAGCTGTCTGGCACTCCAGCTCTGGGAAATCTGACACCTGGCTTCAGTGGGGCCACCACATCTGCGGCATACACACACAGAGACAGGCACACATCTGTGCCATGCACACAGACAGACACACACCTATGACATACACACACAGAGAGACACACACAAAATAAAAATAAATCTTCAAAATGAAACGAAGCTGGGTTGCTGGTGTACACCTTTGACCCTAGCCCTCTTGGGCAAAGGTATATCAGTTTGAGGTCAGGCTTGGCTACATAGGCAGCTCTAGGCCAGTCAAGGATACATAGTGAAACACTGTCTCAAAAGAGCAATAACAGTAAAAAAGGGGGGGGTGTCCCAAATTATTCATAATAAAGGAGTCAAACTAGCATGTTTGAATTCTACCTTTGGGTCCGATGTGGCACTCAGCATTGTGGCCAGATGGTCACATGCTTCTCCCAGGAGTAACAGCCACGGTTCTTACCCTAGCTCTGTAGGAGACTCGCTCAGCTGCCATAACCAGTGACAAAGAGAGGACTCCAAGCCAGGCAATCTGCACCAAAGCCCTTCCTCCCATGCTCTTCTCCTCATCCTGGGTCAGTAGCTAAGCTCAGGTGGGCTCTGCTTTCTCTGAGACCAGAGAAACCTGTCTTCAGCATGGACCAGTACCACGCAGGGAGATGATGCTGTTGGAAGAAGAAAGGAGGCTGTGTATCTTGAGGCCTGGGGACATGTGTGGCATGCATTCACTATCATTCCCAAAGGCCAACACAGGTACATCCTGGCCCTTTGCAACGGCTTTCCCAAGAGCACAGGCATGTGGCCTGCTCTTGATGTTACCACAGATTGTTACTGAGTTAGGAGAATGTTCTGGTCTGCCATTAAAAAAAAAAAAAAACCCCTCCATATTGCTAACTTGTAGTGTCTGTATTCCTTGCCTCTTATTGTGAACACACACACACACACACACACACACACACACATTTACTTTAAAAATCAACTTGGTATGAGGCACCCTTTTCTGTACTGGATAAGTCAGGTGATCAATAAAGAGATCCAATCAATAATTCGGTGACTGTTAAAAATCATCACCTGAATATTCAACCCCCCAAATCATACATAACGTCATGTTTTACAAGGATTCATGCGGGATGGAGTCCCAAGGGGACCACCATGCATGGCTACATATAAACTATGTTCTGCTGTTCTTCGGCCATGTTACCCATGTCTCACTTCTGAGAGCCTCTTCAAGAGGCCGCTTGTACTTACATTCATGACTGTCTTGCGGCTGCAAGGCTTGCTGTCGTTTTCCTGTTGGCTTAGTGGCTGCACCTGAATCTACTGATATTTTAACTAATGCATGAACCCCATGGCCCCACAGTTAGCACCCCCGCCTGCTCACACTGAGGCCTGGTGGGATTTCTGCTTCCACTGGCCAAGGGCATCGGCTTGGCTGTGGCCACCAAATAAAGGTTCTAACTAAGTCCCTATTGTTCAAATAAATATTTATTGTACAAATAAAGACTTGGGAGCCCGCTGTTGGAGTGAAAACCTGCTAGATCAGGGAGGCCAAGAAACAACCAGCTGGCCTTCTGCTTTGGCTGAAGACACAGCAAGAGAGCCTCTCTCCACTTTTCCCCAACCAAAAAGACCACAAATCTCAAAGTCCCTCCCTACTCCTTCCTGTGAGTCTCTATCTGAATTCCCGGCTCCTCTGTCCTCTCTATGGCCAATTCCTGTCAATTAGTTGCTGGCTCTGCCCCGATCCAAGATTAATTTTATTAACACAGTCTCAGCATTTTCACAACGCGATCAAACAGCCTGCAACAGCTTGCAGATTGGGAAGATCTCTGAGGCCGCTAGCCGTGTCTGCCATGCTGGTTCATCTGAGCTGCTCTGGACTGACTGCATCCTTATCTCCAGAGCTACTTAGAGCTCCAAAATGCTTTAACTAAGGATACCCAGTGCTCTTTAACCTGGGATCAGGAGCAGTTTGGAAAGGGAGGTACCAACCGGCATGTAATGTTTATAACAATTGGGTTTACAAGATGTATCTGATTTTGGCAGCACCCAGGGCCTTTTACAGTGGGGGCTTGTCCCGACCAGAGGGATATGAATCGGGAGCCCGGGCCCTGCAGGGGAGAAATGAAGGGATAAGAGACAGGAGAAAACGGACAGTAAGTCTGTATTCTGATCAAGCTGCCAATTTTATTTCTTCTCAGGAGTATTATATAACAAAAAGGCAGGGGGGGAGGGTAGGTTGCTAGGCGATTATTCTAACTGGAATGTCAGGTCTGGAGACATCCCTAGCTGATAGAAAGAGATAAGGAAATACTGAGGGTCTGTCAATGTTTACTAACAGGGAGAATGCGAATTACTTCTGGGGCTTGGGGCCTGCAAGTCTGCAGGCATTCTTAACTCACAGGGAGAGACAAGGGCCATTTCCTGGGCCCAGAACTTGCCCTGCAGAGGTGAATCTTACTTAACTTGTGAACTAAGATGGCTGGCTTGGCCATAACCAAACACAGGTCTTTGCTCCTGGCAAGGGCTGGCCAGCTGGTTATAAACTTGGAATTCTGCTCTTTATTGGAGTCCACCACCACAAGTAGACTTTGGGTTCCTAGTAGTCAGGTGTTTTGTGTGCACTGGCGGTGATGTGAGACCTGGGAATGAACATATCCTGTGACTGGGTGATGGGAAGACTCAGACGCCTCTACATGAGAACGCTAACCTGAAGCTGGCGTAAAGGAGACCCCAAGAGAGAGCTGTTGGCCCTTCTGCCATGTGAAGATGCAGCAAAGCAGCCAGAGATGCAGCTAAGCAGCCAGAGGTGAGTCAGGAAGCAGCTCCCATCATCAGGCATCAAATCTACCTCTGTATTAATTTGGCCTTCTCAGCCTCCAAAACTGCAGAGTGAAATTTTGAGGTTGTTCAACCATCTAATCTGCAATAGTCAGTGTGCCTGACTACAATGTTCCTTGTGAAACTGCTCTACTTAATATGTTTAGAATTTGTTTTAATTTATTTAAATGTTTATTTAATAGCATGTGTGTGCTTGCATGTGTTTTCACATGTGCACGTGCTGGGGTACGAATGTAGGGGTCAGAGAACAATGCAGGAGTTGGTTCTCTCCTCCCACCATGTGAATCCTTTTTTCTTTCTTTTTTTTTAAAGATGTATGTATGTATGTATGTATGTATGTATGTATGTATGTATTAAGTATACAGTGTTCTGCTTGCATTATGCCTGCCCTCCAGAAGAGGGCAACAGATCTCATTACAGATGGTTGTGAGCCACCACGTGGTTGCTGGGAACTGAACCCAGGACCTCTGGAAGAGCAGCCAGTGCTCTTAACTTCCACCACCCACCATGTGCACTCTAGGGTCAGAGGTCAGGCCATCAGTCTCGGTGGCAAGTACCTTTGTCCTCACAGCACCTGGTTTCCTTCTGAGACAGGGTCTCACAAGTGTAGCTCAGGATGGCCTGGAATTCACCATGGAACCCGCAAAAGACTTGGGCTTGCATCCATCCTCCTGCCTCAGCTTCCCAAATGCTGGGATTACAAGCCCAAAGCACCACGCTCAGCTTCTGATGTATTTAAAACTTACCCTTCTCGTGAAAAAGACACATAACTTTCCCTGAGTCTGTCCCCTTTCTCTCAGACAGTTGGGCATGCTGGAGAAGATTGGGGCCTAGAATAGGCACGAACTCTGTGTACTAGACTCTGTTTGTGTGGTGGTTTGAAAGAAAGATGGCCCCTAAAGGGAGTGGCACTATTAGGAGGTGTGGCCTTGTTGAAGTGAGTGTGGCCTTGTTGGAGGAAATGTATTCCTGTGGAGGTGGGCTTGGAGGTCTCATGTATGCTCAATTTACTCAGACCACTTCCTGTTGCCTGTGAGTGAAGATGTAGAACTCTCAGCTCCTTCTCCAGCACCATGTCTCCTTGAAGCTGCCTTGCTTCCTGCCATGATGATAAAGGACTAAACCTCTGAAAAGATGAGCCATGCCAATTGAATGTTTTCCTTTATAAAAGCTGCTGTGGTCGTGGTGTCCCTTTACAGCATCTCTTCACACAGTCTCTTCCTAAGGCAGTTTGCTAGCACAGGTAGCTGGCCAGTCCTCCTCAGGTAAACACAGTCCAGTGCTCTGGAAGAGTAGGGAGGATATTGTGTGCCATTTCTGCATCAGATGGCAGGGGTAACGTCTCTTCTGTTAACCCCTTTGCCTCCTTTTTCTCATTGGCCCAGCCCAATACCACAGACACTCTGATTTTGAACAGTTGGATTAAATGTAGGTTGCTAACTACATGTACATGTTCTTTACTGTCTTGTAAGCAGCACACGGGTTGCTAGTTATGCTTTGGGACATGGGGGGGGACTTAAAAGCTCTACAAAGAGTAGCTACTTAGTTAAAACAAAAGCAAAGCGGTTGGGGGCAGGCAGCTTAGTTGACAAAATCCTTACTGTGCTGACCTCAACCCACAGGGTAAGGGTCTCGATGGTTGAGTGGGAGGAGCTGGGACGAGAAGGAAAAAGCTGGGGCTGGGAGGTCTTGCAGAAGACGATGATTTATGTCACACAAGTTTCATAAGAAGTACGCCTTTAATCCCAGTACTCAGGAGGCAGAGGCAAGGGGAGCTCTGAGTTTGAGGCCGGCCTGGTCTACAGAGTGAGTTCCAGGTAAGCCAGGGCTAAAAATAGGAGCCCTGTCTTGAAAAACACAAGTGAACACACAAATAAAAAGAAGTACAGGATATTTTTTTTATTATTAAACTAATTTATTTAACTTTATTTTATGTGCATAGGTGTGAAGGTGCCAGATCTTATGGAACTGCATTTTCAAACAATTGTGAGCTGCCGTGTGGGTGCTGGGAATTGAACCCGGGTCCTCTGGAAGAGCAGTCAGTGCTCTGAACCACTGAGCCATCTCTTTAGCCCCAAGAAGTACAGAATCTTACACACTATTTGTAGGGGCAGAAGGGCCAAGGTCAGTAGAGACAGTGCTAGCAAAGAGAACACAGGATCCCTTAGGCCCAGCTGCCTTGGGACTGATAGCCACAGCCCTTCAGGGGAGAACGCCAACTTCCCCAGGCACAGAAACCTTAACTCCTTCGAGGCTCAGGCCCCAGACCAGACTTTGCCAAGTCAGTCTCTGGACAAAAACACAGAACTAGCATTCCCTTTGTCCTTTCATCTGGGCCTCTGAGAAAGCCTTGGATCACCCTGGCTCCCAGCACCATGCAAGCGTGAGGACCAGAGTTCAGATCCCCAGCACTCATGCAAGAAGTTGAGCATGGTAGCACTTGCTTATAATTTGTTTGCTGTCTGGTTGGAGGACCAGACACACATAACATGGAGGACCATAACACAGGCCTGATGCTTCATCATCTTGACTTTGCCTCCACCTCCTGGAACTGCACACATTAACCATCGCACCTGGCTAGGGGTTGGTGGATTTTAATATGAAGTTAATAGACAGAAGAGAACACAAGGGTAGGAAGAATGGGGGAAAAAGATAGAAGAGAAGGCTGACCAGAAACAAATTTGTGATGAAGCTGGGCTATACCACCTCCGTGACAGGTGAGAGGAACCACCCTTCCCCAAGGACTCCTTGAACGCCCAGGATGGTAGGTGGAAAGGACCTGCCACCAGGGCTGACCACAGTCTGGGAGGCTTACGAGGAAAAGGTGTGAGCCCTGCTACTAACTAAATTGTTTCTAAATCCCCAGACAGAGCAACCAGAAAAAAGGATCTAAATTCTCAAAGATCTTCCCAGAATATACAAAGAATCAGAAAATATTGAGAAAAAAAAAAAAGATCTCTTATATCCACTGACCCCCCATACATTGTGAAACTATCCCTCTGGCTAAGTTTCCTGTCTTCCTTCTGGGACCAAGTGTTCTACTGGTCCCAGTCATGGAGAAACCATCTAGGACAACTGGGGATGCTTTTCTATACGACTAAAATGGGGTCACGTGGATGAGAGAACACGCTCATCTTGACTTAAACAGTCTGGTGGGCAGTCTCCAGACTGCTTGAAGGGAAAGACCACTTCCCATGAAGTAGTTCAGTTCTCAGGATTCCAACAGTTGGGATGGTGTCATTGTGGCTCATTGTTCAAGGCTCTGTCTGGTTGTGGCTGGGCCAGTTCCTTGATGAGCTGCCTGATGGCCACAAGGAAGAGACACCTGGCTGTGTGAAGCTTCAGGGTGGGCCGTATAAGCCCAGGTTCCGGGCAGCTTGGGAGATCCTGGGAAGTTTCCTCTGGGGAAATGGGTAATGTGTCGGCTTTCCAGACCTGTGTAGGTTCTTTGTGGAAGAAAGACACTGGATCCCGCCTGGCAAACCTGAGCCTGCTGCCTGTAGTGGACCACAGCCCTCCTGACTTTGACACTGGGCAGCCTCTGCGATTTCGGTTTCTTGCTGAGTCTTCTGATGGTTTTCCAGCACATGAGGGTCTCCCTCTGGAGAGAGCCTTGGTTCTGACTCCACAGGGTAGCCCTTGGGGTTCCCTTGGTGGCCGGTTTCCTGATGGAGAGTTTGGACCAAGCGATGCATCTCTAGGTAGGTGTGCCATGGAGTCTCGGGAGCCTGATGGCAGCTTCTGTCCATGTCCTCCAGCATCCCCTCAACCTCAGAGTCAGTCTCTTCTGGGGACAGGGAGCTCTTTCTCTCCTTGTTAATCCAAACGGCACTGGTCATCGATTCAGCTGGAGTAAGCATGGTCCCTTCTAAGACAAGACACAGCGGTGTCACTGTTGGGAAGTCTCTGGGTAGCTCCCTTTGAGACAGACCCGTAGGTTTCAGATTAAAGGAAGGGGGATCTTGAATGCCAAGGGAGTCAGATAGCAAAACATTACACATGTGTGCCCACAAACATGCAAACGTACATGACCCGACCTGTGTGTATTCTTTCTCACACACGTGTTTTCTTCCCCAACATATAATTACAATTATTCATAATTCAACAAATATTTATCAAATACTATATCCAAGGCCTTGTTTATTTGCGGTTCCATGAATGTAGCAGTGAGAATACTCACAACCTTATAGACGGATCCTAATAGAAGGGAAAGGCAACAAGCAAAGGAATATGCTAAAAGTCCAGGAGCTAACTGGAAAATGTGCCAAGTGAGAGATTTTGGCACTTGCTCTTAAATGGGATGTCTTCATCAGAGCCCTTTCAAGACTCAGGGGGCTGAGTGGAAGAGGAGTCGGGAGGACTGTGAGAGCCAGTGGAGATAGGTGACTCCAGGAGACAGCATCATCCTGACACAGCAGGACCGATGCACACGTGAACTCAGAGACTGTGGCTGCACACACAGGACACAGCACCATCCAGACACAGCAGGACTGATGCACACGTGAACTCACAGAGACTGTGGCCACATGCACAGGACACAGCATCATCCAGACACAGCAGGACCGATGCACACGTGAACCCACAGAGACTGTGGCTGCACACACAGGACACAGCACCATCCAGGCACAGCAGGACTGATGATGCACACGTGAACTCACAGAGACTGTGGCTGCATGCACAGGACACAACATCATCCAGAATCAGCAGGACTGATGCACACATAAACTCAGAGAGACTGTGGCCACATGTGCAGGCCTGCATAGGGTCAAGCCAGAGAGGGTCCCAGCACTGAGAGCAGGAAGCAGATACAGGTTTCTACTTCTAACCAAGAAGCTATCTGCAATTGGTACCCACCTGCATTGGGAAAATTAGTCTGCCCCAATGGAGTCTCACTGGGCCTAGTAACCACACTTCAGGGAAGGCCCCATGCCCAGATGTAAATGGCCAACACAAAACTAACTCATTGGTAACTATGTGGACTTTTGGAAGCATTTTTTTTTCTCTTACTGGTCTTTTGTTTATTTATTCTGGTATCTGATTTTGTGTTTTTGTGAGTTTTTCTTTGTATGTGTGTTTTCTTGTTGTTTTTTAATGAGAGAGAAAAAGAAAGGGCTTAGCATTATGTGGGGGGGGGATAGAAGGACTTTGGAGGAGCTAAGGGAGGGAAAAAGCGTGATCAGAATATATTATATGAAAAACATTTTTTTCAATAAAATAATTCAGTTACTAACCAATCTTATGGGGAAATGCAAGCATAAATGAAGATAAAAACCTCAGGAGAGACTGAACCTGGGAAGAAGTGAGGATTAGTGTTTAAAGATGACAAGGACAAAGGGTATACACACACACACACACACACACACACACACACAAACCACACACACACACACCACACACACACACAAAAAAACCACCACACACACAAAACATCACACACACACAAAACATCACACAAATATACACACAAATACACACACCACACACACACATACACACACACAAAACATCACACACACAAAACACCACACAAATATATACACAAATACACACACCACACACACAAAACACCACACACACACACACACACACACACACATACACAAATACACAGGAACAGGCACACACATTGATTGCTGTAATTTTTATTTTAAATGTACCAAAAGTCCACGTCATAGGCTCTGTCCCCAGCTTAGGTGTCCTTAGGAGATTGTGAAAGTTTTGCCAGGCGCCTGCTCAAGTGAAGTAGGATCACAGGGGCATGCTCTTCAAGGTACCGGGATACCAATATTTTCTCCTCCTTTGGTTTCCTGGCCACCACAAGGAGAGCACTGCCCACTACCACATGCTCCTACCATAGTGTACTGTGCTGACAAAGATCCGAAACGACACGACCAAGGGGCCCTGGGATGAAACCGCCAGAACCACGAATTAAAACAGACCTCCTTTTAGTCTCTTCTGCCGGATGCTTTTTCTCACATGATGACCAGCTGATTAGCATTCTCCCATTTGATTTCATACACACATCACAAGAGAATATTGTTCTTAGCTTATGGGGTCTGTGTCCTACACTTCTAATAATGATTTTCTCACCCAAAGCAGGAGAGAGTCCATGGACACTTCTGAGAAGTGTCTGTTTCTTCTCTTAATGGACTCGGCCTCATTGCTAAGTACGGTGAAGAGATGGTACTACTGGGGTAACAGTGTCATCAAAAAGCCCCTCTGAGCCCCAGCTTAATAAATCCGAAAGAATCAAAGAACAGCCTGGTGAAGGCAGAGCATGCCTTTAATCCCAGCACTCAGGGGGCAGAGGCAGGTGGATCTCTGTGAGTTTGAGGCCAGCCTGGTCTACAGAGCGAGCTCCAGGACAGGCCCCAAAGCTGCACAGAGAAACCCTTCTGGAAAAACCAAACAAGAAAAGAAAAAAAAAAAGGAAGGAAGGAAGGAAGGAAGGAATGAAGGAAGGAAGAAGGAGGAAGAAAGGAATTGGAAGAAGTAGAAGAGCAGATGCAGCCATTTCTGCAAACAGGTGCAGCCTTACATGTGACCCCAGGGAGGAGAGTGATGTGCTCACACTTAGGAGGTTGATCTGCTCACACCTAGAATTGCACTAGCTTTCAGCATGGCAGGCACACCAGCCTTCATGGTACTCAGATGCTCTGCAGGAATTAGAGGATAAGGAAAGACAGACAGGGCCTGGGAAACATAGAATCCTCTTCCATCTACCAGAAGAGGGCCCTGGAGGTGGGATGGCTGCAGGGACAGACAGGCAGCCAGTCATAGCAGGGCCTCTTTACTTTCAGTAAAGTATGGACCAGTGGGTGGTCCAAACAGGACAAAGAGAAAGAGAAAACACACACACACACACACAAAACACCCCCCATATACACACACACAAAACACACCCCCCACATACATACACACACACCACACATACATATACACACTCACAAAACACACCCCCACACACAAAACACACCACACACACACACCACACACACATACACCACAAACACACACCACACACACACACACACACACACACAAGAAGAGAGGGAAGGGAGAGTCCAGGGGAAGAGAGGAGCTGCCCATAGCCCCGAGCCAGATAGTGGAACCCTCAACTGCAGCCCCTGCACACAAATACTTTAGAACAGGGTCTGCCTTTAACCTTCAAGTTAAAGAGAATATTCAGCAACACAGAAGTTTCACACCATGTTTTCCCTTTCTTTTTAAAAAGCCCTTTAAAGATTAATTTTATTTTATGTGTATAAGTGTTTTGCCTGCATGCATGTGCTCCACACACATGCCTGGTGCCTCTGGAGAGCGAAAAAGGCGTTCACATCCCCTGGATGTAACCCCTGGAACAGACGGTTGTGACAGACAGTTGTGAGCCACCATGTAGGTGCACTATGGACCCCAGGCCCTCTGCAAGAGCAACATGAGCCCTTAACCACTGAGCCATCTTTCCATTCTCCTTGATCTTTGGTTTGATTTGGTCTGCAGGGGATGGGGACGTTAAATTCGGGCTTTGTTCCAAGGCTATGTACATAATCACTCCATTCTATGGTGTGATACCTATCACTGTGGAATGTAGAACTTGTCTCCCCATCCCTGAGTTCTGACCCAGTCAGTTCCCAGAACAATGGAAGCAGCCATCTTTCTTCTCCAAAACCTTTCTGTTTCGCCAGTGGATCAAGAGGTTGAGGTTGAGCATCCATCATTCCACTTACCCTAGCAGGGGGCCAAGCTGGCTCACCTAACCCGTCTAGCCAGATCAGAGCTAGGAGAAATAGGCACAGAGACCAGGAACACTGGCCATTGGCCAAATACCTGGCAGAAGTCTCTGTTTCTTTGGCTAAGGGAGAGACTGGGCAGAGCCACCCTGATCTAGCCTCCCTGGTTCAGTTCTGACTGGGTCAGCCGTGGCTCTTCCTTTTCAGACTGTCTCAGTCATGGTCCTGCCCACTGTGGACTTTAAGACACTTGTTCCAAGCACAGAAGGGCCCTTCCCTCCAGAATTTGCCCAGCCCTACCTTTAGGAAATACCATCAGGTGGGCTTGGGTCCTCTGCTGTCTCCTCAGACCTTCATACTGGGCGCGGAGGAGCTGGACGTTGATAGGAGGCCCTTGACCCGATGCCTGAGTCCGGGAACCCTCAGCCATTAAGCAGGCCCCCAGTTCCAAGAAGTTGGGTAGGGCAGGGCACGGGCAGGCCAACCCTTTCATCCGCATCCGGGAGAAAAGCAAACACTGAGGGCTGAGGCAGAGGGAAGGTGGTGGTGGGGGGCGGGGAAGGGTAGGTGGTAGAAAGAAAGAAAGAAAGAGAGGGAGGGGAACAGGGAGTGAGGAGAGAAGGTGGAAAGAGGAGAAAGGGAAGGAGAAACTGAAGGGAGCAGAATGGGGAGGTGGGAAGAGGAGGAATGAGAAGCAGCCAAGGTCAGTTCTCAACTGAAGAGGAAGGTTTGGGGTGGGGCTGAGAAAGGGGGAGAAGGCAAGAGTGAGGGGTTAGGAGTGGAGAGAATGAGGTGAGATTAGAGAGCAAGGAAGTGGGGTGGGAGGAGGTGAGGAGCGAGTAGAGGTCCAAGGAAGCCGAAGGGAAAGGGCAAGCATAGCTCCCGGGTTCTTTCCCACTGCGCCCCAAGAGATTTTATTCCAGCTGCTTCCCCTCGCGATGGTCAAGTTCAGAATGCGGTTCCAAGAGCTACAGTGAGATCCCAGTTACCTGGCAGAGCTGAGCTAGGCTGAGGAGTGCCAGGCGCTGCCGGTTCAGCAAGGGTTTGAACTTAACTTAGCAGGTCACCAAAACCTGCTGGTTTAATGAGCAACCGTCACAAAAAGAAACACCTTCAGCAGCCTTAAGAACTGGGACTCAGGGTGTATACCAGAGCACCCTAGGGTCCCCATGCATCCCCCAACACACCTCCCAGGTAAAAGTCCCGCCACAAAGTTTGCCGTGGGGACAGAGTCCAGGGGAGCGCTGGCTTCCCGCCAGTCCCACCTCTTTGACATTTGAGCGGCCTCTGTGGTCTTGGCCTTTTCCAACTAAACAGTAAGTGGGTGTTTATCTTGCCCACAGCTATGGGGACCCTCACCCCCTGTTTGCCAGCCCTGCCATTTCTTTGACTGGCAGACACTACCTCTTCTTAGGCTAGTCTTGACCTGTCTTTGCCCCACTTGCTCAAGTAAGTCCTTTTTCTTCTTCTAAGGCAGTCCTTTCTGCTGGCCACCTGCCCAGTACTCTTACAGCAATGGGGGAGGGAATGGGGGAGGGTAAATCTTCAGTGGGTAGTGCAGTTAGTTCACTGGGGCTGCTGCAACAAAGGCCCACAAATTGGGTGATTTACAAAACAGACATGGCTCTGTTTGTTTGACTAAGGGTCCAAGATCAAGTGTGAGCAGAGACGGTCCTTCCAGGGACTGTGTGGGACAGCCTGTTCTACACACCTTGCCTAGCTTCTGTAGGCTCACTCTTGCTACTTGGTGATCTTTATGTTATGAAGGAATCACTTCCCCTTTATCTCCTTGGGATGGTCTCATGTATGTCTCTGTTGACATCTCCCCCTTCTAAAAGGATGGGGTAGTGCTTAACCTAATAACCTCATCTTAATTCAACTAATTAAGTTGTCAATAAACCAACTTCCAAGTAGAACATGTTGTGGGCTCCAGATCTAGGATTTCAGCAAGTAAACTGGGGTTGAGTGGCCACGATTTAGCCGATGTCAGGTAGACCATAACAGTTCCATAACATTGTTCACCTACGGCACGCCAGGAAGCAGAGAGCGATGGGAACCAAAGACGGGTGTAATGGTTTGGAAGAAAATGCCCCTCAAAGGGAATGGCACTATTAAGAGGTGTGGTTTTGTTGGAAGTGGGTGTGGCTGTGTTGGGGAAAGTGTGCCACTGTGGAGGTGGAATTTGAGGGATCATGTATGCCCAAGTCACACTCAGTGTCTCAGATCACTTCCTGTTGCCTGTGCAAGACGTAGAACTCTCAGCTACCTCCCCAGCACCGTGTCTGCCCGAATGTCACAGTGTCCAACCATGATGACAATGGACTGAGCCTCTGAAAATGTAAGCCACCCCATTAAATGTTTTCCTTTATAAGAGTTGCCATGGTCACCGTGTCTCTGCACAACAATAGATTCCTAACTAAGACAGTAGATATAACCTCCAGTAACTGTCCCCAACCCAACTAATGACCAACTACCAAAGACTCTGAAACCTCTTAAGACAGTATCCTAAGCTGGGGGCCAGGCATTAAAGTGTTCAATACATAACAGGTAGCCAAGGATGGGGAGGACAGAATGTCCTTATCTCCCCTATGGAGTGGCACCCAAGACTTCTGTGTGGATGCTGGTTATCTTCCTGGTGACTCAGTAAAAGCTCCAGTGCCTTCGCTGAGCGTTCTGATTCAATCAGTCTGGAGTAGCATCCGGACCTTTGCACACTGCTCCAGTTCCTCATGTTATGGGGAGCTCACCAGAGGGGACTACCATAGCCAATTCAAAGTCTTTATTCCAGCCGGCTGGGAATATCCAAGTGTCTGGGTGTAGCCTCCAGTGTCCAGAACATGGGGTTTTTAAAAAAGCAGAAACCACATCCGAGCATCTTGCTCGGGCGGCAGCTGCAGGGGAGCTTCGCGGAAGCGGCAGTTTGAAGCAAGCCCGTTGTAACAGAAGCCGAGATAGTTAGCCAGGGCGTCCTGACCTTTGGCTCCTAGAAAAGAGGCAGGAAACTTTCAGTGGGATTCTGCATAAAGAAGATAAGATTCTAGTTAAACCTGAACTGGCCTCGGCAAGAATACAAGATGGAGGAACCTCTCCCCTGTCTCGGCCATCACACCTGCTGCTCTGGAGAAGCACCTGCCCTGCTTTCTGGCTGCCCGAGGCTCCTTGGAGGACAAGTGGAAGGAGAGGGCTTCATTTATTCTGTTTCTTCATTTTCAAAATAAGGTTCCCTTTTCCCCCCCAATGTGTTCCATTTTTATTTTATTTTCTTATTTTTTAATTCACAACTTTGGAGGTTTGCTCTTTTTTAATTTAAATTTATTTTTACTTATTTATTATTGATTTTATTGAGCTCTAAGTTGTTCTCTGCTCCTTTCCCTGCCTCTCCCCTCCCCTTCAACCCTCTCCCATGGTCCCCATGTTCTCAATTTACTCAGGAGATCTTGTCTTTTTCTACTTCCCATGTAGATTAGATCCATGTATGTCTCTCTTAGGGTTGTTGTCTAGGTTCTCTGGGATTGTGAATTGTAGGCTGGTTTTCTTTGCTTTATGTTTAAAAACCACTTATGAGTGAGTACATGTGATAATTGTCTTTCTGGGTCTGGGTTATCTCACTCAATATGATGTTTTCTATCTCCATCCATTTGCCTGCAAATTTCAAGATGTCGTTACAAAATATGGTTTCTTATAGCCCAGGCTAGCCTCAGACTTGGTAGACAGCCGAGGCTGGCTTGAATCCTCTGGCCTCCACCTTCCTAGTACTGGAACAGCAGTCTTTTGCCATCAGCCCCAGCTTTGTCCCTGTCTTTCTTTTACCATCCGAACCTTTAACTTATCTGGAATCTATTGTAGTATTAAAGTATTAGGTATAAGGTAAGAATGTAGCTATTTTTCCTCTGTAGATGATTTCCTAATTGTCACACAACCACTTATTGAATAAACTTTCTTTTCCCTGTGGTTTGTGTGGAGGAAACAAAGGGCAGTCGCTTGCCATCTGCTGGGGTTTGCAGAAATAAACGACAAGCTAGGATGGAGGCAGAAAGATGGCAGGGCTGCTGCCACAGCAGGGTGCCCATCCTTGTCCCAGCAGACCCTCCAGCAAAGCAGGAAATAATGGTCAAAGCTGGGGTGCAAGGCCCTGGAGGAAGATGTGCCATTTGAATGCGTGTTTCTCCTCTGTGTGTTTAAACACCATTGAACCGTGATGTACTGCTTGTGGTTGAGGAGCGTGAAGTCAGGTAGCAGGGCTGTTTCTAAGAGGACCCGCCCCTATTCCCATAGCTCTCACTGGTGTTTATAGTAAAGGGAATTAGGCACAGTTCCCCCTCTCCCCATCCCATCTTCCAGGACCCAGGAGCACTTGGTGTGAAGGAATTCATTTATAGCTAGTCAATGAAGTGCAGATGGCCACTGGCTGGCGTCACTCACTACTGGAGCCCTGTGTCATGGCTGACGTCACAGAGAGGTCAGCCTTGGTGGGTGGAGGTTCAAAGACAGAGAGGAAGCCCTTAGTGTCGCTGATGTGGTGGACAGCCAAGTGTTCTGTAGGCGTGGGGGATGGACCCTGCCCTGCAGAAGGATTTCGGCTTTGATGTTCCACTGGAGACTAGGAAAACTTAGTACTCTGGTCTTAGCTTTTCCTCTCCCTACAGCAATTTTATCCAGCATGATCCCATCTCCACTGTAGAGATAGAGAACCCCAAAGGGCAGGATCGTGAAGGAAGAGAAGCCTCCCTTGGCCCTGGTTGCAGTGATGAGGATGGTCTGTAATTTGTGGTCTCTATAGTAAAAGGCAGTGTCGAAAGGAATGCCACCTGTGATATGGAAAGACTCAGGTGTCAGGAAGCATGCCGGAACCTACAGCCTCACAAACCACAAGTTCTCAGCCTGCCAGAATGACATCTGCAGTGAGGATACGGCTGAGTTGAAAACAAAGGCTGCACACACTGAGTTCCAACTGGTAGATCAGGTGTGCATTAGTCACTCTGTTCAGAGCCAATCAGTTGTGGGAAAGCGTGCAGTTTTACTATTTTAACTCGTCTTTTAAACAAAGAATTTAAGTGTGTACGTGTGAATGTGTGTGTGTGTGTGTGTATGCATGTATGTGTGCATGCATGTATGTGTGCATGTTTGTATGTGTATGTGTGTGTACGTGTGTGTGTTTGTGTGTGTATGCGTGTATGTGAGTTTGTATGTGTGTGTATGTGTGTATGTGTGTGTGTTTGTGTGTGTATGCATGTATGTGTGCATGCATGTATGTGTGCGTGTTTGTATGTGTATGTATGTGTGTATGTGTGTGTATGCATGTGTGTGAGTTTGTATGTGTGTGTATGTGTGTGTATGCATGTATGTGTGCATGCATGTATGTGTGTGTGTTTGTGTGTGTATGCGTGTATGTGTGCATGCATGTATGTGTGCGTGTTTGTATGTGTATGTATGTGTGTGTACGTGTGTATGTGTGTGTTTGTGTGTGTATGCATGTGTGTGAGTTTGTATGTGTGTGTATGTGTGTGTATGCATGTATGTGTGCATGCATGTATGTGTGCATGTTTGTGTGTGTGTGTGTGTGTGTGTGTGTGTGTGTGTACGTGTATGACATGCTTTACACATGAAGGCTAGATGGCAGCTTTTCCAGATGGGCTTCTCTTCTGCCTTGTTTGTTTCTGAGGGCCCCTCTGGCTGTTTCTGCCTCCCTGCTGTGTGCTCCAGGGTAGCTGGTCAAGCTCCAAGCCTGTTAGTTCTCCTGTCTCTGACTCCTACCCCTCATCAACACAGGCATGCTGGGATGATAGAGGCATGCTGTTGAATCTGGTTTTTCACATGGGTTCTGGGAATCTAGGTCAGGTCATCAGGATTGCATGGCTGACTAAGCATCTTTTCCTGTGGATTTAAATTCTATTGAACCCATGATGTACAAGCAATATTGTTCTATAGTGTGTTGTCTTAGAATTTCTATTGCAGCAGTGAAACACCGTGACCAAAAGCAACTTGGTGAGGACTGGGTTTATTGGGCTTGTTCTTCTATATCACTGAAGGAAGTCAGGACAGGAACCTGGAGACAGGAGTTGATGCAAAGACCATGGGGGGATGCTGCTGCTTACTGACTTGCTCTCCATGGCTTGCGCAGTCTGT